ATATAATATATAATAATAGAATAATTATATAAGCAAATAATAAATAAAATATTTTTAATATACTAAACAATAGAATAAACAACACTATGTAATACATTGTAGTATACAATAAATATTACATATTCTAATAATGCATGTCATAAGTGTTATATATATGTAATATAATATATAATACATATAATGTGTACAGTAATAATATAGAAAATAATATACAATTTAGTTTATTATGTAAAATATATGTAATATATAACAAATAATATATAAATAAAATATTTTATGTACTATATTTTAAAATAATGAATAATAGATTATATTTTATAGAATATATTTTATTTTAGGGGATAAACCCATCCTGTGACCTTTTTGTTTCAGAAATTTGTTGTTGCTGTTTAGGGGAGTAAAACAAAACCCTTTCCTTACAACTCTCTGCTCCAAGGAAAAACCACTGGAATTTTTACCCACAGAAGGCACAAATCCCCAATTCCATGGAGACAATGGTGATTTCAGAGAATTGGGACAAATCAATTCCAATTTTCCAGTGGAAAAAAGACAAAAAACAAACCAGTTTGTTCTGAATTTCCCTCTCACTCAGGTTTGGAAGAATTCCCCATTGGAAAAAACAAGGGGAAAGTGTCACAGCTTTTTTGATAAAAGTTCCTAAATCCCTCCTGAATTCCATAAAATCATAGCTGAGATCCTTGCAGCACCTCCAATTTTCTTTCCCAATTTCCCAATGGAATGGGAAATGATTCTCCAGACTGGAGACTCCAAAAATGCTGAAGGGAAATCAGAATATTGAAATAATCCCTGAGGGTTTTTTTTTTTTGTTCGATTTTTTTTTTTTCTCAGTTCGAGGAGGAAAGGCACTGAATGAACTCATTCATAACTCCAGTCTAAACCCATGAGTTTATCTTAATTTATTTCCTAATTAAAAAGGCGATTGTGGCAGGAGTTGGATGTGTTCCCACTCGAGCAGGAAAGGTCACTCTGCTCTTGGTGTCCTGCCCAAAAATTATTGTCTGGGCTGTTAAACCCGGCTTAGCAGCACAGCCAAAAACCAGGATTAAGTTTAAAAAATTCGTGGATTTCCCCAGGAGTTTCCAGCTCCCCGGATTGAGGATTACAAGCAGGAGAAGTTGGGGGAAATGGGATGGAATTCAGCAGTTTTCCATCATCAGGTTCCTAAAAATTCTGTGAAAAATCCAGTTTTGGAAAGAGAATTCTTTAAAAACGGGGCCATGGCTTTGTGCTGCTGCTGGATTGAACAGGATGCAGGCTTGGATCATCACATTTCCAAAAGAATTGCCCGTTTTTCTTTTATTCACACACATGCAATGATTTTCCTTGCAGGATGAGAATTCCAGAATTCCCAATTTGTACCTGCTCCTATGGATTGACATTCCAGCTCCACAAAGTTATTGCAATCAGAAGCAGCAGCATCTCCATCCCAATTCCTCACATTTTAAGGAAAATTTATTCAGTCACATGAATAATTATTTATTCATGTCCCCAAGTGTCACATCCACAGGGTGTTCAATGGAATGGGGAATCCTGGAGAAACCTTTCCAGGAAGGAATTTTCCCAATATTCAACCTAAAATTTCCCTGGTACAACTTGAGGCAGGTTTTTTTAAAAATTTTTTAATTTTAAATTTTTGCCAAGAAGCTCAAATGGTTGGCGTGTTATGAGAGTTACACACGAATTACATGGGAATTACTTGGGATTTACATGTGGGAGATTAATTGGAATCAATTTTTTGCCAATGGCTTTAAATGGTTGTTTC